AACCCCACAGACTTCTATTCTTCAAATCCTCATTACCATACCATTATCTTAAGTCTCAGGCAAGAGGGTCCTCATTATCGGACCCTGTTTTACTTCTCCTCTGTGTACACCTTCCCGATAGGGTTAGGAGTTCAGGGCAGCTAAGTGTCAGTGCCCACCTGGAGCCCCTCTACTTCTTCCCAGACTGTGTGCTGAGTCAGAAGATGCTGGAATTCCCTGCTCAGGTGTCCTTGATTCTGCTTTGAGCATCTAAACAGGTCCCTTCTCTAGGTCATTCCTCTTGACTGTGGCTCACATCAAGATACTGCTCTTTATAGGCCCAAGGTCTGACCAAAAGGCAGTTTGTAGAGAAGTGAATGGAGCTTGGACATGTGAGATTTCATAGTCATATGCATGTAGGCCATACCATCTTGGTACGAGATAAAGCTGGGCAAGGAGAGAAGATGGCAGACTAGGGACTGTGATCTGGTCTTTCCTGTGCTGCCTCTTTTGGTGTGGTGCTCTGATCCTTCCAGGTTGTAGGTTAGTCACAAGATGAGTGGATGTATTTTACTTAACAATTTTCTAGCTCTATTTATAATTTTATATATTTAGGTATATGGTATGTAGGACTTCACTTGTACTTTCACCCCTATACCTCACCAATGTTAAGATGGGGTCTGCCTCCATGCACACATTTCAACTCTACTTCTACCTCTAGTTCTTTTTCCGTAACATCTGTCAGAATTTTTTTTGTTTATTTGTTTGTTTGTTTTGTTTTATATATAAGAATTCCCATCACTTTTTGTATGCACTCAATTCTTCCTTTTTCTATTTGAACTCCTCATTATACAAAACTTGAACTACAGATCACTTTTACTCATCTGCTTTCTTGGCTTTTGTATCCTGCCTTCTGATATATGCGGGATAAAATAATTGACCTGATACATTATTGTACTTCAAATTAATATGAACATAGATGATAGTCTAGGTCCATTTTTGTACTAGCTTAAAGTTAGAAGTTCTTATCATCTATATAAAAAAGATATTAATTTTTATAAAAACAGCATATCAAATGGTTCAGAAATCTTTAGATGTTTTTAGCGTATTTATTTTTATTGGCTAGATGTGGTAGATTTATTGAAAAATCATCCATTTTTTAAACTCTCTTTATAATGCATGCCCTCTAAAACATAATATTATAGTTCCTCCCATTGGGAGGTACCATCTATTTCCTCATCTCTTGGATTTTGGTGGTCCTTGTGATTTACTTTGGCCAATGGAATGTGGCAGAAGTGACACATGTCTGTTCTGAATCTAGGACTCAAGAGGCTGTGTACCTTCTTTCTGTCTCTTTGGATCTTGCCACCACCATGAAAATAAACCCTTAGCTAACCTACTAAAGGATGAGAAACTATCTGGAGAAGAACTGAGTCATTTCAGCCAAGGTTAGCCTAGGTTGTCATGCTCTAACCCTCTAACCAACTTGTCTACTGCCTGCTGATGCCCAGACAAGGCCAACCAATATCAAATGAGCCTAGCCAAGGTCAGGAGAATCACCCAGACTACTTGTAGACTTGTTAGCAACAATAAATGTTTATTTACTTATTTTTTTGCCACTTGTTATTTTGTGTTTGCTTTTTTATGCTTTACGATTACGACAATTGGTAATGGATAACCTATTATGATGATCACTTTTGGGTCATCTTGGGAAGATTATATGCCCAGTTAATCATTCAAATACTAATCTAGGTGTGACTGTGAAGGTATTTTGTAGATACATTTAGCATTTATAATCAATTAGCATTAAGTAAAGGAGAATATCATAGATAATCTGGGTGGTCCTGATTCAATCAATTGAAAGTTCTTAAGAATAGAACTGAGATTTTCCAGTAGCAGAAGAAATTCTACTTGTGACAGCAGCTTCAGCTTATGTCCAGACGTCCTAGCCTGCTCTTCCTGATGGCCTGACCCATGGGTTTGTATTTGCTTAGCCACCACCAAAATCAAGTGAGCTAATTCTCAGCAATAAATCCCTTACTATATGTCTTCTACCACTTCTGTTTCTCTGATGGAACCCTGACTGATATATCTATACAACAAAAAAGTGATCCCTTACACAATTAAAAGAAAGGAAAAGAAAGCGGTAACAAGAGCAACCACTGTTTTAAAATCTTCACATTTAAGTCAGAATAACTTAGTGAGACATTATCACTATTAAGATTATTAAAATTCTTCTGCCTGGAATGTGTGACCTTTTTGGAATCCTGATATAAACAAAAACTGGAGACAACAAAAGCTATCTGACTCTGGATTTAAATGTTGGCCACAAGGTATTGCCCCATCTTATGGGGGCCAAGCAAAGTGCTAGTCCAAGTTTCACTCAATAAATGAGGCTTTCATAAAAATGTCTAAACATCCAATTTACAGTAATGTCTCAAGTTTTCCATTCCCATCTTCTTAATACAGTAATACCCTGGCTCACCACTTAACAGGAGCTGTAGAAAGGGTAGACAGACTTCATCAACATAGAAGGTACACATCAATTCATAACCTTTGCTCTCTGTCTGGGACAACTCTGGAAATGTCATGCCCCATGGCCTTATCCTGACACTTAAACAGCCTCAGGGCACGTATTTTGTAAAAAGCCTTGATTTCCTAGATTTCTACAAAACATTTGATGAAATGATTTTTAAATAAACTCTTTCATCTGTATGCTCATTTCTTAGAGACTATAACTCTCTTAAGAAAACAAGTATCCTGGGGGCGCCTGGGTGGCTCAGTCGTTAAGCGTCTGCCTTCGGCTCAGGTCATGATCCCAGGGTCCTGGGATCGAGTCCCACATCGGGCTCCCTGCTCGGCGGGAAGCCTGCTTCTCCCTCCCCCACTCCTCCTGCTTGTGTTCCTGCTCTCACTATCTCTCTCTCTATCAAATAAATAAATAAAATCTTTAAAAAAAAAAAAAAGAAAACAAGTATCCTGTCCTTAAAGTAGGTTCAACTCAATCTGGTGGAAATAAATGTGATAAAGGAAAGACACTGTGTAAATGGTAATTTTAAACCATATGGCTTTTATTTTTATTTATTTATTTAAAGATTTTATTTATTTATTTGATAGGGAGAAACACAGTGAAAGAGGGAATACAAGCAGGGGGAGTGGGAGAGGGAAAAGCAGGCTTCCTGCCGAGCAGGGACCCTGAAGTGTGGCTCGAACCCAGGACCCTGGGATCATGAACTGAGCCGAAGGCAGACGCTTAACGACTGAGCCACCCAGGCGTCCAACCATAAGGCTTTTAAAAAAGAAGTAGGAAAAGTCTGTATGAAAGATATCATGGGAGAGTTTTCATTTTTATCATAAATTTTAGGCTTTTATGTAATTAAGAATTATGTAACTCAACAGTCAAATCCATCTCTCTGATCCTATAGCCTTTGTTCTTAGCCTATAATATTTTGGTGAGCACCTTTGAGTTGGCTGTAGTTTATGTGAAAGTTGTAGACATGACTCATGAATTCTAATTGTATAAGTTTAAGAAGAGTTTCATAGACTTACCTTCTTATTCATTTTGCCTGTCAACCACAGGGGACCTGGTAACAACTTGGGACACACAGGAAATACATATTTGAAAGTCTGGGACTAGTTTGGGATAAGCATGTGTCTTAGCATGTGGAAAGTGTTAATAATATATTTTTTACTTCATATTATAAAGTACTAACAAGAGAGAAGCACTAAAAGAAGGAAGAGTAAAATAATATTTTCAAAAAATTGAAAAGGAAAATACGGTAATTATTTGGATTTTGTAAAAGAGAAATGACACATTTGGGATTAGTGCAAAAATGAGATGAACAGAGTATAATATTTAATAATTTTATTTTTTATTTTTTTAACTTTTTATTTAAATTCAAAAAAAGAGAGAATCACAGGTTCAAAGGCTAAAAAGGAAAAGAAAATGGAATGAAAAATAGAGTTGGGTAAACGGAAAATTTCAGTGCCCAGACTACTATGGAAACTAGAAAGGTGTTTAAGGTTCTGAAAAATTTCTGTTGAATTAGAGGAAGAAAACATAAATTATGAAGCAAAAAAGTGAAGTGGTGAATTATGAAAACTATTTTAATAAATTCCATATCCAGACGCCTGACTTCTAGAGTTTTGCTTGGTAACATAGCAAGGTCAGCATTTTCTTTGACAGGTGACTTTGACCAAGTGCTATGGGCTGAATGTTCGTGTCTCTCCAAAATGCATGTGTTGAAATCGAGGTGATTTTAGGAGGTGGGATCTTTGGGGCATAATTAGGTCATGAGGGTGGAGTCTTCATGAATGGGATTGATGCTTTTGAGAAAGAGACCACAGAGAGATCCCTTGCCCTTTTTGCTGTAAGAGGACACAGCAAGAAGTTGTCTGTGTATGAACCAAGAAGCTGGCTCTCACCAGAACTAGAATGTGCCAGCATCTTGATTTGGGATGTTCTAGCCTCCAGAACTATGAGAAATAAATTTGTTTATATGCCGCCTAGTTTGTGGTATTTTGTTATAGCAGCCTGAGCAGAGTAAGGTACCAAGAAATGGGGATAAGGGAAGGAAAAGGATATTACTTTGAGAGTGAATGTGCAATAGAAGGACAGGTGGAAAGATGACCTAAACACTACTATTTGGACATTTGTGTACAGTAAGAAAGTTTTACAAAGTAGTGTGAAAAATCATTTTAAGGAGGCTTGAAGTATCTATAATATTACCAGTTGTCTGGCACTTTTTATGAATTCAACTAAAATACTGGAATTTTGTTGTGTAAATTATAAAAAAATGACTATCAATTTAGAAAAATGTTTAAATAGCACTTGGAAATACAAAGGAAATAAGAAAATGTGTAAATTGTGGAAGAAAAGCAAATAAGCTTTGGAATGTTATCCATATAGAAAATATTGCACATGAAGTTGTAGGTCGTCAATAAATATTTCTGAATGCCTGTAGAAGATATGAGAAAAGAAGGCCTTAAGAAAGTCATAAAGAAACCTTGGGGGGACTGCTCCGGACTGAGGCTGCCCGAGTGAGGCTCCCCAGGTTGCTCTGTCCACCAATTCATGATTTTCTGCCGTTTCTTGGCAAAAATGGCAACTAATGGTGCTGTTCTGAAGAGACTGGAACAGAAGGGTGCAGAAGCAGATCAAATTATTGACTATTTAAAGCAGCAAGTTGCTCTTCTTAAGGAGAAAGCAATTTTGCAGGCAACTTTGAGAGAAGAGAAGAAACTTCAAGTTGAAAATGCTAAATTAAAGAAAGAAATTGAAGAATTGAAACAAGAGCTAATTCAGGCAGAAATTCAAAATGGAGTGAAACAAATACCATTTCCATCTGGTACTCTGCTGCAAGCTAATTCCACAGTTTCTGAAAATGTGATACTAGACCAATAACAACTATAACTTCTGGTGCCAAAGAACAGATAGGAGGAGGAGCAGAAGAAAAGAAGATGAAAGAGAAAATTGAAGTGAAAGGCGAGAAAAAGGAGAAAAAACAGCAGTCAGTAGCAGGAAGCGCTGACTCTAAGCCATTAGATGTTTCTCGTCTGGATCTTCGAGCTGGTTGTATCATCACTGCCAGAAAACACCCTGATGCAGATTCTTTATATGTGGAAGAAGTAGATGTTGGAGAAACAGCCCCAAGAACAGTTGTCAGTGGCCTGGTGAATCATGTTCCTCTTGGACAGATGCAAAATCGGATGGTGATTTTACTTTGTAACCTGAAACCTGCAAAGATGAGGGGAGTAATATCTCAAGCAATGGTAATGTGTGCTAGTTCACCTGAGAAGGTTGAAATCTTGGCACCTCCTAATGGGTCTGTTCCTGGAGACAGAATTGTTTTTGATGCTTTTCCTGGAGAACCTGACAAGGAGCTGAATCCTAAGAAGAAGATTTGGGAGCAGATCCAGCCTGATCTCTTTTTTTTTTTTTTAGTGAGATTTCGTTTATTATTATTTTTTTTATTCTTATGTTAATCCCCATACATTACATCATTAGTTTTAGATGAAGTGTTCCATGATTCATTGTTTGTGCATAACACCCAGTGCTCCATGCAGAATGTGCCCTCCTCAATACCCATCACCAGGCTAACCCATCCTCCCACTCCCCTCCCCTCTAGAACCCTGTTTGTTTTTCAGAGTCCATCGTCTCTCATGGTTCGTCTACCCCTCCGATTTCCCCCGCTTCATTCTTCCCCTCCCGCTACCTTCTTCTTCTTCTTCTTTTTTTTTTCTTAACATATATTGCATTATTTGTTTCAGAGGTACAGATCTGAGATTCAACAGTCTTGCACAATTCACAGCGCTTACCAGAGCACATACCCTCCCCAGTGTCTATCACCCAGTCACCCCATCCCTCCCACCCCACCCCCCACTCCAGCAACCCTCAGTTTGTTTCCTGCGATTAAGAATTCCTCATATCAGTGAGATCATATGATACATGTCTTTCTCTGTTTGACTTATTTCACTCAACATAATACCCTCCAGTTCCATCCACGTCATTGCAAATGGCAAGATCTCATTCCTTTTGATGGCTGCATAATATTCCATTGTATATATATACCACATCTTCTTTATCCATTCATCTGTCGATGGACATCTTGGCTTTTTCCACAGTTTGGCTATTGTGGACATTCCAGCCTGATCTCTTTACTAATGATGAGTGTGTAGCTACATACAAAGGAGCTCCCTTTCAGGTGAAAGGGAAGGGAGTGTGTAGGGCTCAAACTATGACTAACAGTGGAATAAAATAAAATACTTCATTTACTGAACTACATTGGAGAAAACTTTAATAACAATAAAAAGAAATATATTTGTCACTTGTACCTAAAAAAAAAAGAAACCCTGGGGGAGGCAAGGAGAGAGGTTGGGAAGGAGAACGTGAGGCTTGTGAAGATGTGGAGCAAAACAGAAGTGGGACTCAAAGGAGTGAAATGAAATGAGGAAAAGGAGACAAAGTCATTGCTGAGTTCAGACAAATCAGAAAAAGCTCAGACATTGTTTCATTATTTTCTAACTAATCTGTTAAAGAAAATAACAATCATGGAACGTGCTTACCGTCAGAAGGGTGTTTTGAGAAACCCATGAGCTCACACTTTTTTTTAGTAGTTGGCAGCAAGATGAAGGGAAAAGCGTGAAGTGTGAATGAGGAAGCAATGAATTCTTACAACTTTAGGTTTTCCTTTTTTCTTTTTTTAGATGCATTTGAGTTTCTCTGAGTTCTCCCCATGATCTCTCGGCCGTGTGAACACTGGAGGTGACAAGACCGCTGTGGCAAAAGTGTAACAGTTCAAAGAGGCAGGAAGCCAACCTGGGGGTCACGCTGTGGAAACAACTTTGATTTTTAATTACTAGGGACATTTTTCAGCTTTGGTTTTTCTTGTAGTCCATATGAAAACCTTCAAACATTTTCTAAATCTGGATTAGAGATAACCTATGTCTCTAGTGATCTGCTACATAAGTTGGCTCGAGAGGGTCGATTCATACAGCCAGCAGTATATACTATGAACAATATGTGTTCAGTATCCAATGGGCGCTGGAATGCTGGTCTATGAGCTCGAGTATATGGCTGGCCAAATCAGAGATTCCATCCCTGATTTAATGGGATTTTGAGTCCAATAGGAGTGGCAGGTGCTAGTCACAGAACACAGAACATGCAGTTATAAGTGATGTAAGTGCTATGAATATAAAGGATTTGGGACAACGACACTCTGTAACAAGGAAGTCCAATTGAATATGGGGGTGTCAGGAGGCTTTCTTGAGGAAATGACCTTTGAGCTGAGTTCTGAAAGACAAGTAGGAGCCATTTAGGTAAAGGGGGATATCAGAGAATGTTCTATGATGGATAGGCAAGGGTAGAAACAAGACGCGATGGAAAAAAAAATCTTAATGCACTAGAGACTCTTAATGCTTTAGGCTCTGTAATTATTATTAAAAATGCTATATTAATTCAACCTTTTATACCTTATAGAGTGTGGTAGAGTGATGTAGTGAAAATGAGCAGACCTCAGGAGGCCTGGGGTGAATAATTTTGGGTTCTATGGCTTCCCGATCAACCTCTGGGTTTCCTACCTAGATAGAGAGGGAATTAGATTAAATGACCCTTTGAAGTACATTTCCAGTTATAATATTTGGTTCATGCAAAGGAATTCTGGATTAACAGTAACTGGCATGGGTTTGTGTATTAAGAAAAATCTAAAGTTTGTCGCAAGTATTACATTATTAGCCCATAATAAAGAATCTGGTCTTGATGAAGCTGCTACTCCAGGTCTCTGTAGCTCCCCCAGCATGTCCATGGGAGACAGTACTTTAAATGTCACATAACCAAGAGTATCATTGCAGAAAAACACTGGTCAATACACTTATTCACTTAATAAATATTAAGTGACCACATTTGCAAAGCAATAGAATTGAATCAGAAAGGATTTCTGCTTTGGACTGTTGAATGCATATTGAGAAAATTCTCCTGCACACAAAAAGGAATTTTTATCCTAAACTATTTGCTCAGAGTGGCTTCAGTCAAGCACTGGATACATTCATTAGGTAGCATTTAGAGGAAAATGATTGTTTGCTTGAATACTAGCCTGATTTCACGATTTGGGGATCCTGATCTTAACATGAAAGACAAAAGATCAGATACCTCCCAGGTACTATTACTGTGGGGACTTTATTTGAATAAAAAAATCTTCAAATGACAAGCTTATTCTTAATGATACTTTTTATTTTATGTACATAAATAATTAGCAAGATGATAGTAAATATTACCAGTTTTATTTATTTCTGACATTGCTCCTCATGCACTTACTGATGGTGATAAAGCATTTAATTGTAACAGAGGTAATGCTTCAGTAAAATCATAGTTTTTAAAGTTCTTTTTAGTGCCACTCTTTTTTTACTCCTGTTGATGAAAAAATCTTTTTATCTTTTTATTTTTTCTGGGCTTCAAATGAGTTAGGGGAACGGTTCCAGAAGAGCAAAACAAATATCATTTTCCATGAATATCTGGCTCGTAAAATTGAGTTTTGGACAGCTTATATAGAAAAAGCCTCTTATGTCTGGGATTTGTCACCTTTGAAGATGCTAATCCTGATGTGCTGGACGTCATAAAGAGACAACAAAGGAGGGGGAGATTCTGTGTCCCTCAGTGGCCAATTTTAGTGCCAGTTCCCTTCTCCAGGACAGGTACTCGGATTGCACATTTGGTAGGTCTTAGAGTTGCTTTTTTCCTTTTTGCATTCAGAGAAGGTGACCTTATGAGTGGGAATAGACGAAGGAATATTTTAGAGATGTGCAGATTTCTTCTGGAAAATTCAGTTCTATCCAGATAGCATGACAACCATTTGTTTTTTAATCAAAGCACAAGATTAAGGGAGATTATCTTGTATTTTCTTTTTTCTTTTTAAAAGCTACACTGAAGAATAATTGACATGTACCTGGAGAATCCTATCATTGATGTGAGTCACAGTAATCCACACCTCCACGAAAAGTTAACTTGATCTTGGTGTTCTTGATCAATGTATAGAATGAGGGAAGTGATGGCTCTGTTTTCCTCTCATTTGGCTGCAACTCAGCTGGGACGTTTTGTTCAGCCTGAAGCACCAGACTTTGAGAGAAATATTGACAAACTGGAAGATATTCAGAGCAGAGAGGATCAGAATCGTAAAGGGAATTAAAACCATGACAGAAGAGCCTCCTCAAAGGAATTGAGACAGAATCCATAGAAGAGAAGACTACAGAGGAATTTGAGGGCTCCTCTTCAGTAAACCAAGAGCTTTCACATGCAGGAGGCATTGGATTTGTTCCTTGTAGACTTACAGTTTCAGACTGGAATGGAAAAGAAGGAAATTTCCAGGAGAATTATTTGAGATTAATGTAGAGAAGATTTTTCTATTAGCCAAGTTGCCTAAAGATGCTTTGGACTAACTCTGGAGAGAAGGACCTTGGGATGTAATAATTGCTATATCTGTAGGAGTGTCGGGATGCTAAAGATGTCGGGATTTAACATCAGAAAATCACAATATCAGCAGCCCTTAGAGTCCCCTTTCCACTCCAAATGTGTCTATAAAGTCAAAATCTGGTTGTCTGGCCACAGAGCATCACTGTGACATTCATCCTTAATCATATGTCTCCAATGTTCCAAGTCCCTGAAACAGTGTTTTTCCTCAGATCTTTAATAAAAATTAAACTTTTTCCTAGCCATGTTATACACAAATAACTTGAGTAGTCAACATGCTTATCTCTACAACCCTTTCATATATAAACACCCTAAAATATCGCTTGGCTCTAGTCTATTTTGAAGTAAATTAGTTTATTTTAAATGTGGCTAGCTAGATACAAGGCCAAACATTTTATTTTTTAGCAAGAATATACTGCAGTAATTCCAGTGGTCATTCCAGGAAAAATGCTGTCGGTGACAATATATTAGCCCAATCACAGACTGGTGGTGATTTTAGAAATCTAATCCACTTGAATTTTAAACCTCAGAACGCAAGAACTCATGCTGATAGAAAAGCCCATGTGAGCCCAGACACAGTAATGGTCACCTTTGTTGTCATTCCTTTTGCCACCTGACACTGTTGCGGGGTGGCATCTTCTGCATCACCAGGCAGCATGCCCCAGGCCGCTCAGAAATGGGTATCTTTTCTGACAATCATACCAACTTGCACTCCTGTCTAATGAGCCCAGATATTCCTACAGAGACTACTGTCCTCCAGACTGTGGCATAGTGTCCACCTTCTCCCGGAGTTCCCCACTGGGGCATGGCGCAGGAGCAGAGCCCGGGGCTCCACCATTCCTGACCCACCTTCAGTGTCCCCAGTCATGCTCCTTCTGACTCCTCAATTAATCTCAGTCACTTCTGCCTCGGGTTCACCTACTCATCATCCTCCGATGGCCTGAAACCTAACTGCTTATGTGTAGGAGGTGGTGGTGGTTGGGCTCTTGGTCAGGAAGTAAAGACTTTCTCCTGCCTTTGGAAACACAATGCTGTCCTCTATTTGCTGGTGTGGTGCTAACATCCCTCCCTCCTTCCCTCCCCTTCTTCCTCCCTCCTTTCCTCCCTTCCTTCCTCCCTCCTTCCCTCCCTTCTTCCCTTCCTTCCTTCCCTCCTTCCTTTCCTTCCCTTCCCTTTCCTTCCTTCCCTTTCCTTCCTTCCTTCCTTCCTTCCCTTTCTTTCAACTTACTCTCTTGTATATTTTTGTCATATGTGAATTATTATGTCCCATATTCTGTGATTACATGTGACATTTTTCACTTCAACTCCTCAGTGTGTGTGGGAACACATCATCGTGTCCAACAAATCTTACTCTTTTTCGATGCTGTGAAGGATAACTAAAAAGCCATACTATAATTGTGTTTTCAAATAAGTTCATATTGTATCAGTTTATATACAATACTCTGGTCCTTCATCTTTCTAATAACCTTGGAAAATCTTTCATTTGTCTGGTGTCTGAACCTGACTTTACCAATTCGGATGCAGCTTACAGCCATTAACCCAGTGTCCAGCACCTAATAGTAAGAAATCTCTCCATTCTCTCTCTCCACATACAGACACACACACACACACATACACATATACATACACACAATTAACACAGTATCACACACTTATATAGAAACTGTATCTATCTAATATATGTACGTAAAATATGCATAAATCATATGTAGATAATATATGTAAATGAATAAAAGAAATAGTAATTATGTTGATTGGAAAAATATTATCTACTTAAAAATACTCTGTTTTAATTTATTGATTGTTCTGGTTACTTTAAAAATATGAAGTTTATAGATTATGGAATGAATGTCTCATTTCCTAGTATTCAATTTCAGCTATATCATTAA